AGGATGAGGGAGGGGGGACCATGGAAGAAAGAAAGAAAAAGTAAGAATGGGGGAGGGGGTCACGGGTGGGGACAAATTGTCCCCACCGAAACCCTAGCAAGTGCGACTTGCGTCAGAATGGAAGTCGTAGCCATATGGCCGCGATTTCGTTCTAAATCGCGCACAACGGCCGCAATTTACCTACCCTATTTTTGGAATATGTTTTGATCCTACCCTACTTTTGTCATTTGTTTTTAAAAAGTAATTATTTAAAAAAATCCGTTTCAGTGATAGTCATGATTTAACTTTAAAATCTTAATATATTAAGAAGAAAATTTTAAATTTATAATATTACTAAAATTTTAAATTGAAAAATGATATATACATTTGAGATCATATAGTTTTGTAGGTAGGTGTCTACTTTAGTTTTAATTTAGGTTTCTATATTTATATGCTTCTTTAAAATTTATTAGATGTCTTATCATTAATAAGGAATCAACAAAAAGAATAAATTTAATATATTTAATATGTCAAAGTGAGCATAGTTGAGTAGGTTTGAATCCACACCCCACATGTTGTATTAAGAAAAATAAAAAATAAAAAATAAATTTAACATCAGTATAGTGCGAGGTGCAATATACTATGATGTTAAAGTTAGTAGTTAGATTGGACTATGCTCAGCTGAGCTTAGACAAGACTAGGAATAAATGGTGATTTCCCCATTTACAATGAGGGAATTCTTTAATGGAGAATTTTGGTACCGCTCTAATTTTTATGGGTCCGTACACGTTTTTCGTACTAATAACATGTTGTTCTGCTGATTGCATAGTGACACGTTGGGTTGATGTCCAACATAGCATCAGTGCCCTTTGGACAGAGGCTCGTGGTCAGCCTACTGATAGCCCCCGATATGGGCTATACTTTATAATAATTATAATGGAATTAATTGTTAATTTCCATTTATTTATGATAAATTTACACGCATGAATGTTGTTTTGTAGGAATAAGGTATCAAGAATAATCGAGACATCAAATTGATCAAATAGAGTGAAAAGCCATAGCCCGAACAAGTTGAGAAGGCCCCACAACATAATTTGGATCAGAAGACCAGAGGGGGTAGTTTTGAGACGCTACCAGAGAGTCTCATCGCTCAAATGAGGAAGCCCAGCCAAATGACCAGCTCAACGCTACCCTAGAGCGTCTCAATGCTGTAATGACAAAACACACTATTAACGCTTTGCGTCGTAGCGTGCGTCAACACTCGTTTTTTGCCAGTATTTAGGGTACAACATTGAGACGCTAATGTCATGAAAACTTTTATAAATAAGACCTCCGCGATCATAATTGGAGGGGGATCCGAGAAGGGAAAAATTGGAGATATTTCGAGGAAGAAGCTAGGTCTTGAAGATCGATCATGAAGTTTGAGTTAGAGACGATCAATCAACACGACATATTCACTTTCTATCTTAATCATGAACATGAGTACCTAATTTCCATTGTCTTAGGGATTGATGTACCCATTAACGTTTATGGATTGATTGTTCGATTTTCTTGATTGCATGCATTTGATTATTCTATTTATGTTTCTCTTTGCTTCATGTCTTTAATCTACTAGCCACAGATTAATTGATCTTAGACTTACAATCTTACACACTCGGGAGAGGTAGTTGAGATTTTAGAAATGAGATTCATAACTGAAGGGGTTTTAAGATCGGAAGATTTAGAATTCCTTTAGAGGTCGTTAAGAGACTTGTTCGTTAAAACCTTTATTTGTTACAAAACTAGATAGATATTTAGTAAAGAGACTTGACTTGCGTTCGAGAGAGACAAATTCTCCTACATCTAGGCTATTGAGCTCAGTCAATGGAGGCCCGACCTCCTCTTGGGGCACCTTGGGGAGGGGATTCGAACTCACAACCACTTGGTTTGAGGTATATGCCAATTACTACTGAGCTATGCTCGCTTTAGCGATTGATAATTTTGTCCCTCATTGTTTTTGTTCTATAATATTTTTTCATCAATAATATTTATTTCTCATTTATTTTATCTTATTTTAAAAATAAATGTATGCACTAATTAATTGATAAATGTCTAAATATAATTTTATTTATATGCTACATTTAGATATAAAATAAACATTAGTCAAGGATATAATATCTTAATTTGTTTTAATTCAAATCTAGGGTGCAATCTTTCGATATTTTACTCTTCCAATAGTCACCAAACATAAACTAAAATTGACATAAAAATATAATATTACATTAATAAAATTACAATTTTTATATGAATTCAAATAATATTATATTTAATATATAAATTATACGACGATTGTTAAGGACATTTTTGGAACATTGCATAAATTTACAATATTCCCATGAATAAATCGAGCAAAACCACCGTGGTTATCAAAAATATTCTCATATATCCTTATAAATTTTCCTACAAAATAAACATGATTATTTGAAATTTCGGACATCTAAAATTTCGAGTACATGAGATTCCAGGCATCTGAAGATACTGGACATCTACATTCCCAAAAAATAAACGGTCCCTTTGTATCATATGGGGCTCAATATCCTTCTATGTATGGGGTTGTTTGATCACTTATCAATACTTTATTTATCGAGCTATGTCGATAACCGATAAACTTTAATTAAATAATAAAAAAAGTAAGGAGTTTGCGAATTGAAAATACAATTTAAAATGTTTTTGATGATGTATGCACTCGTTGATATTCACATCAAATCATAATCACAAGTCAACCAATTTTGGCCTTTTTTCTTTTTAGGAGTTTATGGTTTACTCGAGGAGGGTGGATAAAGAATTCAGAATGAGAAATTTCCCAACCGACAATTTCTCTGCGTTTGGTACACTTCGTGGGACCGAACGGGCGACCTCAGAAAAAAATAGATTCTCCTACAATTTGTCTCCATATTAATTATTACGACTTTTTTACCTTTACCTTTACTTTTACTTTTTATTTCTTTTTTACTTCTCCAATAAGCAGGCGATTAAATGTCTCAAAATTTTTATTCTTATTTTACATGGTCCTTTCCATTGATATAATTAACTAAAGTCTCGTTTAAATTCAATAAAGTTCGATGATGTTTACTAAAATATAGGAAACAATTTTATCGGCAATCTCACGTCAAAACTTGAGAAAATAATTATATTTTAATTTTATTTTCTCATCTCATCACTACTTATTCGGTGAGCTCCATACTTTTTCAATTACTTTAGGACTTTTATTATTCATCTCTCATTTATAGCTTTTTATTACTTATTTTACCATTTTACTATTTCATTATTATTTATTTTTACTAGTGTTATCGGTGAAATAAGGCAAAGCCAAGAATATGTATTGAATGATCAAATACTGATGAGACAAGTCTGGATATTAAGGGTCATTTGAGGAGTCGTAGGTCGAGATCCAAAAAGTAGACCCTACCCAATAGCTAAGAACCAAAAGCTAGCTTGTTGATCGGCTGGTTGACTTGGCCAATTTGTGGTTGGCGTTGGCTGCGCTAGCTGCAAAGTTGACCAACCTTGGCCTATTGGTTGGCGCAATTGGGTCACGACTAGCATTGATCGACTGGTCGGCTCGGCCAAGCCTCAAGGTTGGCCAACCCTTGGTCATCTGGTCGGCTCGGCCAACTATGCTAACTCAACTTGTTGCTTAACTGAACATCCCCTGGTTGGTAAGGGGTTGAGACAATGGACCTAGAATCAACTTGAACTCGTCTACCTTTATAGCCTCCTTGTAGATTGAAGAATAGGTCTACCATGATACAAGATCCTGATCTAAAGAATTTGAATTGGCCTCATCCAAAGATTTAAAATTTTCCTTAAATTTGAGTTGTCTTTATTTAAATATTTCAAATTGCCCTTCTATCTAAGGAATTCAAAATGTCATTTTTCTCCTCCAAGGAATTCAAAAGTTGAATATCTAGGCTAGGTTTTCCCTCTATAAATAAAGGGAATAACCTCAATACTCAAGGTATGTTACAAAATTCTATCTTTTTCTATGCTTCTCATAAAATCTCGATCTGACTTAAGCATCGTAATATATGTGACTAGCACCACGACAAGAATTTTTAGATTTGGCGACGAAAGTAATTGTCGTACAAGGTCAAAAAATCGTCTGAAA